ATTCTTGTCCCCCAGCTCTGGCCAGCCAGGAGGGACCAGCGTCCAGTGTGACCAACGGGGTTGCCATGGAGACATGAGCCCCCTGAGGCCCTCTCACTGAGAACACAGGCCCCACAAGCTGTTGTCTCTCCCCAAAGGCAAAATGGATCCATAGGGAACTGATTTTAATTTTTATCTGTTGCTTCCCCACCTCTACATTTTTTGGAAATAAAAGAAGTAATTTTATTCTCACTTCTTGATCAGCGGCCAGTCCGTGCTCCTGCGTGCTCATGCTCGGTGCGGCCCTGGGGCGGAGGATGGGCCTCACGGCGGGAGCCGCGCCTGGGCACAGGGAGCCTCTCCTCTGCCCCCTGCCCCGGCGGTCATCCTGCCCTCAGCCCCCTGCTGCCTCTGCTCACAAAGGAACTTTTTCTCCCCTTCCCTGAAGTATACTCTGGGCCAGGAATTTTGGGCAAATGACCCATATAAATGGGCCCTCCCTCCTAGGGACTGAGCAGCTCCGGCAGCCCCAACTCCAAAGTGCTGCTGGGGCCACTTAAGGCTTTCCAGGTTTCCAGAGGCCATCTTCCCGACACCCCCATTCTCTGTCTCCCCATCTTCATTTCAGGACCAGCTGTCCCCACACAGCCTCACACCACCTGGCTTCTGCGGGGCTGCTCTCTGCCCATTTGCACGCCCATTTGCTCTGGTCAGTGCGCAGAGTGCTGGGGGCAAAGAGCAGCTCAGAAGGGGCTTTGGAAAACCCCGGGGACTAATGCTTCCGTCCTAGGGTTCATGCCCGTGCAGCGGTTCGTTTGGTCTCCACAGCCTGGGGAGGGTCCAGGGTCTGACCCATGAGCCTGGGAAGAGTCTAATACAGGATGTGCTGGGGGCGGCTGTTCAGCCTGCCTCCCACCGGCCCCCACGCTACCCCTGGATCATCTGCCTTTGGGCCGGCTCAGCTGGCAGGTCAGGCTCCAGCCAAGGAAGAGCCAAGAGCTTCAGGGCAGCCAGCACCTCAGGGCTCCCCACCTGGCTTCATTTCCAGGGCAGAGCCTTGTGCTCCCCTTGCTTGCCTGTGTCTAGCCAGCAGGGACAGCCAGGGGACCCGAGTAGGGTGTGTATAATTCCCCAGTGGGCACAGGAGCTCTAAGGAGGGCCCAGGACTGCAGAAGCAGCCCTGAGCTGGGAGAAGGAAACCCTCCCCTGGCTTGCTGAGAGGCCTTGGGTGGGTCCTTTATCCTCCCAGCCCTCTGGGCTGGAGGCTCTGAGGATGTGTCATCTCTACATATGTGAGCCCTTGGCCTTGCTCTCCCAGTAGACTTCTTAGAGGCTTTGAGGCTGGAAGCCCCTGGGGAACATAGCTTCCATCCCTCCTACCTGGGCTGGGCCTGGCACTCTGACTCCCAGGATGGTACAATACAGGCCCCCCCGACTCCTGCCACATGTCACAACCAGGGGCCATCACCAGTGACAACCAGGGTGGTGGGAGAACTGACAGGCTGGCTGGATGCTGCAGCTACAAAGGCCCCAGGTAACTTGGCCCAGGTCAATGGGCACTTGGGTCTCCGCTGTGACTTCTCCCAGCTCTCCATCTTGCCCAGAAGTATTCCCTGGGGGAAGAAGCTGGGGACACCCATACCTGCTCTCTGCCTAACCACCCCTCCTGTCCCTGTACACTGAGGCTCTTGCCCAGCACAGAATCGTGGGTTCCTGATCCTCACCTCCTGCCAAAGTTGTGACACCCTAGCGTGCAAGGCTCTGATGATCACAAGACCCAGTGTTCCCATCCACAGGTGAGAGGCTGAGGCCAGAGGGTAATTGGGAACAGCAGCTGGACCAGGGCAAACATGTGAGATCCCTTCTCCCCCAGCACTCGCCTGGCCATCTCCTTCACCCCCTGCTAGGGCAGGGCTGTTTCCTAGACTGCTCCCAAGAGGTCGAGCAGCTGGCCAGGGTGGGTGGCGATAGTGGAAGGAGTTAGTCCTGTGGAGGAGATAAAGGCTCACCCATAGCGAGGCAGCTGCCTGATGAAAGGCTATCGGTTCCATGGATGGCATGGGCATGTGCAGGCTGCCAGGCCCAGAGGAGGAGCTTGCAGAGCTGTGTGTGCACCTGGCACCCTGGAGATGGCCAGTGGCCTGGCAAGTCCCTTAGGCATCCAGCAGGATACTCAGAAGCCCTCTCGGCCCATTGGGAAGAGAGAGAAGGCCTTTGGTAAGAGGGGCGGCGTATAGGGAGCAGCCACCTGGGCTGGGCTTGGACTGCCTGGACAACACTTTGGGCCAATCAGCTGTCCCAGCTGCACCATCCCGAGAGAGGTGTGCCCCTCTGGACAGGATCTGGCTTCTCAAAGAGCCTCTGGTCCGAGTCTGAGATGGAAATGATGAGCTGTGGATTGCAGGGCATGCCTACAACCTTCCATGAAGAAATTGGAGGCTGGAAGTGTGCCCCGGGTCCCAAACTCTAGTGCTCTTTTGACTGGATTTTGTTTCTAACCAGACTGGCCCATGCATAAGCAGAGCAGTGGCCACCTAACAGGTCAGGTAACTCTTGGCCCAGGTCAATGGGCACTTGGATCTTCTCTCGGACTTCCCCCAACCCTCCACCTTGCCCAGATTTAAAGATCATGTCTTTACTGCCCTCTGCTATTATGAGCATGTTTCTTTGAATTTTTGAAGGCATTTAGGTCTTTCTTCCAAATCATCTGGTTCAAGAACAACTTTCCAGAATCAATGACAGGTACACAGGCCCTTGGAAGGGGGGAACCAAGAGACCGAGGCAGCCAGGTCCTCCAGGGCCTGTCGGGGGGAAAAGAACCATGACCTGTCCTGCCACAAGGAGTTTGTTCGTCAGCCCTCCCAGCCCTCCCCGAGCTGCAGGCAGGGGCCGGCCCTTGTGCGCCCCCTCCGCCCCTGGGCCTGGGCCGGCCAAGGGACACGGTCAAAGCAGGCTGCTTGAGGGAACCGAGGAACAAGTGGCTTGCTTGGTAGTTCTGCACTGCCTCTGCGCCCGACTCTGCCGAACATAAAGCAGGGACACAGGGTTCCTTAGAGGTGCCACAAGGCCCTTACCTCTGCCCTTTTACAAACCCAGATCCTGCTTCCTGCATTTTTGTTCAGTGACTGCATGAGCAGAGGAGCTCAGCTCAGGAGAGGGGTAGGGACCTGTCCCCAGGAGCCCTTGCAAAGGGGACAGAGTGGGACAAGGGTAAAGATGAACAGCCAGTGAAGGATTCCAGGCAATAAGGAGAGATCTGGGGGTGGCTACCTGAGGCCCGGCAGCCTCCCCAAGAGTCCTGTAATCAAGTTACCAGGCAACTTCGAATTAGCAGATGGGAGGGCGCACCTCCCCCAACCACCACCAGGGGCAGCATGGAGCAGAGCCTGCCCCACAGTGATGCAGATACCCCACCACATTCCTGGGTGGCACTGCAGGCTCAGCATTCCTGCTGGGTGGGGCCATGCCACCCACCCAAGTCCAGGGTGTTAAGGTCTCCCAGACAAGCACATCAGAACCACTACAGGAAATGCAGAGACCATCTACCCCTGCAGGGGATAGAAAGAATGCCACCTCAGGCCCACATAGCCCCAGGAGTCGGCTGGGTTTCCACAGGTGGCCACAGGAAGGGGGACTCCTGACAGAGGCAACAGCCTGTGCAGGGGCCCTGAATGTGGCACCTGCTCTGGACATAAGTTTGCTTTCAAGGCAGGAAGTACCTTCCAAGGAGTTAACAGGCTTAGAGATAGCCAAGGGCTTGTCCCAGGTCAGAGCAGGTGGTGGCCCCAGGGCATTGGACTGTGTGCTTTTATAAAATGGTCAATAAACTTCTGAGGTTTGTTGCTGGGCCCTTTGTAAAGAGCCTTCCACACAGCATCCCTTTTATCTTCCCTCACCCTGGGAGGTCCTACTACCACTCAGAGAGGTTGAATAGCCTCCCCAAGGTCACACAGCTTTGAGTCCTGACAGGGGCAGGACATCCCCCTGGTAAGCCTGACTCCAGAGAAGAAGGGGTGGGAGCCACGTAGAGAGGATCGGGATGAGCTGGGTAGCCCCAAGAAGGACTGACCAAGAATGGCAGTGTTTGTGCCCCTTCTACCTCCTGAAGGGAATCCAGTCCAGGGCCATGGGACCCTGGATGAAGAGCTGAGGGCAGTCCTGCAGCTGGTGGGGAGACTGGTTCCCCTCTGGAAGCTCAGCATTTCAATTTTTTTTCTTTTTGAAGCTGCTGACTTCTTCAAATGAAACCTTTAGCTCAGCCTGGAGTTGCTGAAGTGTGTGGGTCCTAGGAGCAAAGAGGTCTGGTAGCCCAGCTCTCCCTCCCACCTTCAAGAAATCCCAGGAGATGATCTGAAGCCCTTGCCACAACTGCCCAAAAGCCGCAGACCCATGCCAACGGCACCCATTATCCAGATGAGAAACCCAGGGCTTAGTGAAGGGCAGAACCCTGCCCAGACGCCGGCCAGCGAGGGCCGGCCCTGGATGCCACTCTCAGACTCCAGGGACAGAAATGGCCGCTGCTCCGGTGTCCAGCTCATTCACTGCTCCTGGCCCCGGGGGGCACTGGGGAGATCTCTTGTCATCAGTGGACCACTGAGCGCACCCCCACCACGCAGTGATGCCAGGTCTGGTACTGTGGCCCTCTGAGGGCCCTCATCACCAAGGCTGAGGGAGGAGGCGTCAGGCCCAGGACACACTTGCTTCCTGTGCCCTGGGGGCACCTGCAGACACAGCCTTCAGCCCTGGGGCTTCGTCTGCCAGGCCAGCCCCAGCCCCACAGCAGAGTAAAGTGAGGGGAGCCCGGGTGACTGAAGGCTGCTGGTGAGTGTGTGAAGGTCAGGAAGAGGGCCCTCGGGCAAATCTGAGCCTGAGCAGAGCACAGGGGGACTCCAAGACCCAGCACTCCCCACACCCCTAAACACCCCGAGGGCCCAAGGGCCTGGCTCCTCTGGGAGGGTATGGGGCAGAGTCCAGGCCCACAGTTCATACAAACTCAATACTACACTCCATCATATCTCTGGGTTTATTTTTATATAAAAATAACAGTTTTCCTTACATTTTTGTTCTAGGAAAACATGCCATGCTCACCATGTGGCTCTATGTACCATCCCCCTAGCCCTGGCGCAGGTGGGCCAAGTGCCATGGCCTTTGGGCTGCTGAGCAGACAGGCCGGGAGTCTGAGGGGAAGAGAGCAGGGCCAGGAGGGCAGGCAGGGTCCCCCAGGCCAGTGGGAGGCTGTTGGGGGGCAGCAGGGGAGCAGAGCTGTCCAGCCTGCCCGGCCGGCACTGGTTGCTGGGACCCTGGGGGTTGCCTTCACTGGTGGAGGTAGGTTTCTAGCCAGATGTTGCCAGACTTCTTCAGGGACCTGGGTGGGTGTGGGTGTTGGGGACTCAATTGCAGGAACTAACCCCATCCCCCCAAGGTGATTCAAGTGGCTGGAAATGTGCCCACTCCCCTGGGAGTTCCTTTCCCCTGAGGCAGGCGGCTGGGTGGGGCCAGAGGAGTGGATTGGGAGAAGAGGCCACACTCCTATCAACTGGAACGGAATCTAGACCTCAGGTCAGGTGAGAGGGGTGGGGGTGGGGATGGAGGGCAGCCAGGCTAAGTCCTGGGGTGGGCCTGCCCCTCCTCCACCCAGCTCTCTGGCCTCCTTCTGCTGGGCCCTGCAACTCAAAGATTTGTAAGGCATGGACCCTACCCACGAGGAGCCCAAGGTCAGGCAGAAAAGCCAAAAGTAACAACTTTCTGTGTCCTTCCAACAGGGCTGTTGACAGGCTGAGTGGCAGGAACTGAGGATTGGGCTGGGAAGGGTCATGAAGGAGAAGCAATTCAAACACCAGCATAGGAGGAAGGGCATCTGAGTAAAGGGAGCAGCATGTGCCAAGGCCCAGAGGTGCAGGAGTTCTGGCTGGGGAGTCTGACCTCTGTTCCTCTGCCAAAGTTGTCACTGGGGCACAAGCTGAGGACAGAAGGGGACTAGAAAGGCCTCAAATGCCAGCTCTTAGAGAGGGACACACGTGGGCTCAGAGAATGGGGTGCCCAGGAGGGGACTGACCAGGACAGGGATGGGCCAGGAAGCCACCACGAGCAGTGCCCTTACCTGATGATGTCCGCCAGGGCAGTGAGGAAGGGCTTCACCTCATAGCTGAGGCCGTGCTTGGCGCACAGCGCCTTGACCAGCGGGGCCACCCTGCGGTAGTTGTGCCTTGGCATCGTGGGGAAGAGGCTGGTGGGGAGAGTGTGCTGATACCTGAGGTGGGAGGCACCAGGCGTGCCAGAGGGAGGCCCCACTCACCCTGTCTCCCGGGCCCCCAGCGAGTTCAGGGCTCATGCCTTGGTCGCCCGGGGAAAGAGGCCAAGAGGAAACAGAGGGGCTCAGGCCTCCCTCCCTACCCAGTGGCCCCCAGGACCCACGCTCACTGGTGCTCGATCTGGAAGTTGAGGTGCCCACTGAACCAGTCAATGAAGAGCGAGGACTGTACATTACAGGTGGCTGCCAGCTGTCAGGAGTGGGCAGGGCACAGGTGAGGGAGGCTGGCCTGAAGCCCTGACCCCATGGCATGCCCTGAAACCTGGCAGCCCAATCAGGACCCCATCCCTCCTGGCTGGGACCTTCACCATGTGCCCCACCCGGCTCTGCCCCTGCTGCCCACCTGAGAGCTGGCCCAGTCCCGGTGCTTCTCACGGCCAATCTCCTTGGGAATGTGGTTCATCTGTGTGATCCACACGAACCAGTGGCTCTCTAGGACCCTGTAGGGGGAGGCTCAGGCACTGCCCGCTACCCTCTGGGACCAGACCTGGGCCTCAGCTTCCTCCTCTGTACAGTGGATTTCAGTAACCCCTCCCGCACTCGTGTTTAAAGATGCTGAGCCCACGGCAGCCCTGTTTGTGAGCCTGGACATCCACGGGGCTACTTGCAAGCTAGCCCCTTCCCCGGGACCTGCGGCCCCTGGGATCCGGGCCCTCTCACACTTGATTCTGCAACCCTGGGAGGCAGTGTTGCTGGCCCCCGTTCTGGAGATGGGGGATGGAGGCTGTGGTTTGGGTCCCCTGCTGCCTGTGTGTGACCTCCCCACTCCCCTCCATTTGAATCTGGTTTTACCTGACAGCAACAAAGAGGAACAGCACCCCAGGAATGCCGTAAAAAGGGACGTAGGACAAAAAGAAGCGGACATAGAAGCTGGCAGCCCAGAGCAGGTCCTGCAGAGGAGGGTGGAGGAGGGCAGAAGGCTCAGGGCAGCCGGGAGGGGCAGCTAGGGCCACTCACCCCTTTGCTGGAAAGGTCACTGTCCCTATCTGGGCCTTGGTTTTCTCAGCCAGGTCAAGAGACAGGGTCCTTGCACTGTCAGCCTCACAGGGCTGACCATGGAGGTGAAGGTGCCATGGGGTTGGGGGTTGAGAGTGGGGAACCCCTGCCTGGGAGGCAAGCCTAGGGATCTCCACACCCAGAGAGGACACCCACACCGTGTCCTGCGCACACTCACTCTCCCCTTGCACACATGCACACTCGTATGCCACACCGTGGCATGCACGCCTGTTTGCATGTGTGGACAGGAGTGCCTCCTGATATCCCATCTTCTGCCACATAGCTGTGTGGCCAGGGGGCCAGGGCAGGGCCCAGCTCACCATCCACTGCAAGCACACCAGCATGTATGCCAGGTTTTCCACTTCAAAGTTCACCAGGGTGAGCAGCGGCGGGCCAACTGCAAGAAGGGGCACATGAGGGCTCAAGAGCAGGGCCAGGGCCCCAGCGGGCTGGCCAGAGGGGGTGGGGTGGGGGCTCTGTTACTCCAGGGATGCCAGTAGGACTTGCACTGGGATGGCCCCGAATCACCCACAAGGCCTGGCCACATTCTTTCCTTGGCATCTGAGCCTCTCCCTATGGTGGCCCTCATCTCACCCCGGCCACCATCATGTCCCTCTTGCAGGTCGTGGGCAGCGTTACCCATCTCCACCCTTGAACCCTCACCATTTTCCCCCAACAACTGCCCAAATACTCTAGGCTCTGGACGGCCCCTACTGTGAGGGCAGGAAGAGATTCCGCAAGCTCTGGGCAGGGCTCTGGCAGGAGGGACCCCAGGCAGAGGAAGCGGCTGGGGCAGAGGCCTGGTGGTGGGTGTCAGCATAGGCTGCAGGTGGGCAACCAGAGCTGAGGCTGGGAGAGGCTTGCAGGGAGGCTTGGAGGCTGAGGGAGGGTCCGCGAGTTTGCCCCTTCCCCAGGGGACAGCTGGAAGCTGTCCAGTGTCAGCAGGCATGGGCAGCCAGCACAGGCTCAGGCATGGTCCCAGCCCCAGCCCGTCCCCCGCCCCCTCGGCGGACAAACGGACACTCACTCAGGAAGAAGTACAGGTGCTGGTGGTTGTAGGGTAAGTATCTGCGTTTCTTTTGGCCATACTGTGGAGACAGTGGCCAAAAGTGGGTGGGGAGTGCGGCTTTCCAGGCCCTCCTCCTCCCAGGCAGGGTCAGGGGCTGGCTGAGGCCAAGGCCAAGGGGCAAAGGCAACTCTAGATTATAGTCCCTGGGCCAAGCGCCCCCCCAGGCTGGAAGATGGGAAGCGGCGGTATCCCGGGGATGGGCTCAGCCTGGAGCTCCCGTCAGGGGCTTGGGCAAGGCCACAGCAGGGGGCCCAATGGCCATCAGTCCCCCCTCACCTGCAGGCATAGCCTGAGTGTGTCCATGCCCTTCCCACGCACCTCAACAGATGACTCCCCCAGGAGGAAGATGGGTGCCAGGGTTACATCTGGGTCTTTGTGGAAGATGTTGGGCTTGGCGTGGTGCTGGAAGTGGCGGAAGTTCCACCAGTGGGCAGAGAAGCCCTGTGGGGGACAAATGGGGCTCTCAGAGGTGCAGGCAGGCCATACTCACCTTGCCGTGCCTGCACTTAGACACAGTGTGAGCCACCCCCACCCGGCCCCTGGCTGCCCACCACCCACCCCTACCCTCACCTTCAGCTGCCCCATCACAAACTGCTGGGCCACGTGGTTCCACCGGGACTTCCTGAAGACAGGGGTGTGGCCCAGGTCGTGCTGCAGACACCAGCACTGGGCCTGGGGAGAGATGCAGGGTCAGGAGTGCCTGGGAGGGAGCTGCCTGGGGAGCCAGCCAGCGAGCCCTTCCAGCTCACAGGGCACACCCACAGCTGAAGCTCTATTTTAAGACACTTGGGAGTCACCTTCTTCTTTTAACAGATGAAGACAACTGAGTTTCAGGAGGTCCAGGGCCTTGCAAGCCCATCATGAGGCTGGGCGGCAGAAGCCTCCTAGCTTGCTGCAGACTTTATTAAATAAGAAGCTTCCCCGGCTCATTTAAAATGCAGCTTGACCTACAGATAATGCCCTATGGGGCCTCTGGCTGGCCATTCATTCATTCAGTAAATATGTCATGTGTCCTCGTGAGCTGGGCCCATGTATGTTGGACAGTTTAGGTGGCTGCAAGACATTGCTGGGGTCACCTGGGAGATGGCAAGGATGAGGGCAGCAAAGGTGCTGGGCACCCAGCCGGGGCCGAGGAGGTAGATGATAAGCCAGGCGAGCAGCTCCATGGCCAGGATGTGGCCCAGCAGGAGAGTGAAGAAGGTAGGCTTGGTTTCAAACAGCTTCATGTCCTCAGCTGCCCGGCGCAGGGCTCGGAAGTCCTCAATCAGCTGAGCCTGCCAGATGGAGCGCTGGTCAGCCACGGAGGTAAAGCCCCCCACAGTGACCAGGCCTCAGCCTCTCCTCCCAGTGCCAGGCCCCAGGGATGTGGCCCGAAGGGTGGAGGATGAGAGTGCCCAGCCTGGGCTGTGTGCTGGGGAGCCAGCCAGTGGCAAAGGGTCCCTGCACAGAAGGTGTGGGGCACATGAGAAGCGGAGAAAGCCAGAGAGGGACCCTTAGCTCTCAGAGCATCAGAACCTCATTGTACGCTGGGCTCAGAACATGGAAGGGGCTTGCCTGGGGACCCACAACCAGCGCTGGCCCAGCCAGATGCAGGGCCCCGGGCTCCTACAGGCATCCCTACAGCTCCACCTACAACTGCCTGCCCGGGAAGGGGTGACAAACACAGCCCGGGTCCTGGGTCCCCTGGGGTAATGCGGGTTCAGCAGTGCTCCCCTCCCCATCCAGTCCCCCACTGGAGGCTAAGCTGCCAACCAGCACCCTGCTCACATTCTGGGGTCCATCCTGGCTGGGCTCCTCCGGGGCCAGCTCTCCAATCAGCAGGGGTTGCAGGAACTTGCGTACAAAATTGAGGTCCTGGTGGAAGGCGTGGAAGGCATCCTGAAGAAGAGCACACAGTTAGGGGGACAGACAGCTGGACAGCCAGAGTAACACGCAGAGGCAGCAGGCAGAGACGAGGTGGAAGGACTGTTGGTGGAAAGGAAAGGCAGAGCAGCCGGAGAGAGTCAGCTGGCTGTTCAGTGGCTGGCGAAATAGGGCCAAACGAGGCAGCCTTGCCCATGAGGCCATCTGGGCCTCCCCAAGCCCTGGGTGCCCTGCTGGACATCCCTGACCTGCTGGGCCCCAACTGCACAGGGGGCCTTTCTCCAAACTTCGCTGGGTGTATCAAAATCTGGATTTATACAAAGGTCTCCCTGGCAGAATCTGATTCTTTTCCTGCAAGGGTTTTGACTTCTCCTAGGAGATCTCTGGAAAGCTTTCTTGAAATCATATGCTTTCCTACTGCATATAAAATGAGATTTGGGTCACAAGCATTCGATTTACCAGCTTTCACAAACACAAGCAATAGGTAAAGTGTGGGTGAGGAAACTCATAATTGAGAGCCACGAACCACCTACCAGGAGTAAAAATCAGCCGAGCACCCCACAGACTGAGTTCTTGGGGATTTGCAAAGAAGACACTTGAACACTTAAACTCATTTGATGTTAAAGAAGGAGCAGAAAAGACAAGCTTTTCTGAAAAGCAAATGAAAGAAGAAATCTAACCCTCCTGTGATTCTCTGTAATAGTGGGGGTGGGGATGAGGTGCAGTGCAGGAGACGGGGCTGGAGGAAGGGAAAGACAAGGAGAAAGGTAAAAGTCTAGGCAGACCCGTTAGGAAGTGGCCCAGGCAGTGCCAGGTGTGAGTGAGCATGAATTTCATACCTGGGGCTTATTTAGTCCTCCCTACTTAGTCTTCATGTAATTGGCTCATGATTGTTCACAGCTCTTCAGCTGAGCATTATCCCCGCACTTATGGAGGCTGTCGTTGAGGCAGCTAGTCACAGCCACCCAGCAGCCTAAACTGCTGGAGCAGGGACAGCGGTGGTGGTGTATCTGGGTCCCTGGGAGGTGACTGTTGGCTGCTAAAGGAAATGCCTTTGAGGAAGCCTGACTGGGAACAGGGGCCTCCTACTGTCCTCACTAGTGAGCCTATCAGTTTTGGTGGGTGTTAGAAGTGACAGCTGGGGCTGCCCTGACTGCCGGATGTCCCACAGTCCTGGGAGAAGCAGCACCTAAGGGTTCCTCTCCCCTGTCCCCACAGAGGCCACACTGGCAGGACCCAGCCAGTGGGTCCCCTTTCCTGTTGCCAGCTCTCCTACTGGCCCAGGGCAACCAGGAAATCTGGGAGCTGGGAGGTTACCAAGGCCCTTAGGAAGGCTGACTGGGGGCCCCTCCCTGGAGCTCCTAAGAGATGGGGGGCTGTGTAAGGGCAGATCTCCCCCGATGAAGAGGCAGCACGCCGGGAGTGGGGTGGAGGGGAGGCAGGCCCCACCAGGGAGTGGGCAGGTGCCGGCAAGGGCGCTAGCGGGAAAGACGGCTCTTGTGCTCGCTGACCCCACTCGCTGTGACCTTGAGCGAGTCTGATCTCCTTTATGGGACCAGACAAATTCAGCAGTCAAGCGTCTGGGGCCCTTCTAGAGTCCTGCTGGACTGCTGAGCATTAACTTTCTTTCCCTCAATTTTTAAATTGTGGTAGAAGATACACAGTATTTCCCATTTTAACCATTTTAAGTGTACAGCTCAGCGGCATTAAGTGCATTCACACTGCTGAGCAACCATCCCCACTGTCCAACTCCAGAATGTTCTCATCTTCCTCAACTAAAACTATCCCCATTAAACACCACCTCCCCAGGTTCCCTCTCCCCCCAGCCCCAGGCACTCCCGTTCGGCTTTCTGTATGAATCTGACCGCTCTAGGGACCTCAGATAAGAGGAACCATTCAGTATTCATCCGTTGTGACTGGTTTATTCCACTTGGTCCTCAAGGTTCATCCATACTGTAGCCTGTTTCAGGATTTCCTTCCTTGCAAGGCTGAGTGAGAGATGCCTTGGACTCCCTCTCATCTCCCCTGAAACTCCCCTGCAGCACACGGGTACACTCACAAAGACAAAAGCAGTGTCTTACACATGTGTGCACACGTGCAGACCCAGACACACACATGCACTCAGAAGAATGGACACATGGCACGCGCCCCACCACAAACACACACACTCAGGGCAGAAGTGGTACTGTGGCCATGGCCCCAGTATTTCCTCCCTCCCAGCTCTTCCTCTCCCCCCTCCCGTGTCTGTTCTGGGGCCTCCCCCGTGCCCAGCAGACCTGCAGATGCCCAGGGCCATGCCCTTGAGTGAGGAGCCTCTCCGGCTCTTTTGCGTTGGTTCCGATTCATCCAGACCAGGCCTGGAGACGCACTGCCGGGAAGGGCTGTGCCAGACCCATTCAAGGGACCTCCAGCCAGGCCTGCCCCGGAGAAGCAAAGGGCAGGGCCCCTTCAGAGCCGGGTGGTGGAATCCCAGAGCCCAGGGACAGGGCTTGGGCCAGAGGGAGGGGGCGGGCAGGTGCTCGGAAAGCAGGCTGGGCTCCTGGGGGGGGGCGCCCCACTGAGCCTACACTTGCCTCTTGCATTCTCAGTGCAAACAGGGTGGGTCCCTGGCCTCGGACCAAAACCTGACACACCAGCAAACAGCTTTTTCTGGAACACTTGCTGGAGCCATATGACCTGGTTCTCTCTGAGCCTCTGTTCAGGGCTTAGGGGCTAGGCAGAAGACTCAGAGAGGTGAAGCCACTTACCTAAGCTCACACAGCTCCATTTGATGGAGGATGGATCAGAACCCAGTCTGGCTGTGTAACACTGTGCTCTGGGCACTCAGCAGCAGCCCTGGGGTGGCCCCTCCTGGGCCAGAAGGGAAGCAGCAGGTATCCTGGTGGGGACAGTGTCCTCACCACGAGGCTGGTCACCATCCTGAGCAGCCACGGACCTGGCTGCTCAGAGACTAGGTGGTGGGGACAGGAGGGTGGTCCTGGTGTTCCCTGGGCGGCCCTGCTGGAGCCTCCACCCCTGGCACCCTTCTCCCAGAGGCATGTACAGAAAGTCTGTGACCCTCCCCCACCGAAGGAGTCAAAAGTGGACTCGGTCTCTCACTGGTCTTGGAGTGGAACTGGGAGGAACTGCTGGAATAAAAGCGGTGCCCCTGAACATAAGCTGCTGGCGGTAGTGCCAGCTCTGTTTCCAGTGGTGTGCTGGGAGCTGGGCATGGAGCAGGGCTAGACACTAGGTGTGCCTAAGTGGACAAGAGACAGCCCTGCACAGCCCACAAAGCAGGGCGAGGAACCGTTTCACCGGGGAGGGAGCACAGGCTCTGGGCGGGGCATGTGCTCAGGCCAGTCTGCAGTGGCAGCGCTGGGATGGGAAGCCAAGCTGATCTTCTGTGCCATCCATGCCCTCCCAGGATGCAGCTGCCACTCAGCCCTGCCTCAGTCCCCGGAAGCCTCAGAGTGGCCCCTGCCCTGCCCCCCCGGCCCACTGTGGGCTCCATGGAACAGCTGGCTAAGGGGGGAGGGAGGGGGAGCTGGAGCCAGCCTGTCCTGGATGGAATCTGAGCCCAGAGCTGCACGCAGGAGCCCAGCCACAGGCACAGACAAGATCACAGCCCTATCTCCATTCTGTATATTCTCCTCAGTAGATAAGGAACCACAAATGCGCACCTCACAGGGCTGATGGGGGGACTAACCTGAGCTGCAGCCGGCCTGACACACTGGGCTCCTGCGTGGCTCAGAGATCCAGTGCCCCCGAGAGAGCGGGCCCACAGGCGGGAGGTAGGAGAGAGGAGTGCACCGGCCTATCAAGTCCTGCCCAGCCTGAGGCTAGGAAACTGGAGGGGTGGCAGCTGGGGATACCAGGGAGGGGAGGAGGGGAAGTGACAGCTCTGGTCACTCCCCAAAGAATGTTCCAGATCAGGAAGGGAATGGAGCAGGGCCACTAAGAGCTCAGGTGGTCTGGGGCTGCCCTTGCTGCCTCCTTCAGCCTTGCTGAGGAGATGGCAGTGGGTTGTGGAGACGGGGTGTGGTGGGATATCCTCAGGGGACAGCCCAGGAATCCCCCCCCCCTTCTTTCCTCCCTCTCCCAGGTGGGAAGCTAAGGCAGATCTCATGCCCAGGCTCAGATGCTCCTCCCCATCCTCCTGGGCATGCCTCAGAGGAGGCCGAGGGGGGGGGCACGGTCAGTGTTCCCTATTTATAGCTGACCAAACTAAGGCACTAAGAGGCCAAAGGGCACACAGCTTTGAGCAGGGCATGTCCAACTCCTGCCCATGCAGTAGAGTCCAGCTCAAGGAAAGACACCCCCAAGAAGCTGCCCCAGTGCCCCCAGCAGCCCTGGTGTCCCTGGGAACAGGCCAGCACTCACATTAGAGCCTCCTCCACCCAGCACCCTTGGCCTCACAGGTGACCCAGTGGTGGTCCCAAAGCAGCCAGACCCTCCAGCGCTGGGTCCTCTCTCCACTACCGAGCGCCGGCTCTTGCCTGCTGTTTCATGAGAAACCCACGGTGGCTTGGGTGCCCTTGGGAAGGAAAGCAGACGGCTGCCAGGGTGCTTAGGCCACTAGCAGCCCCACCCCTGCACACTGTGTTCCTGCCTTGTGCCACACAGTCCTCCCTCCTCCTGCAAGGAGGGAGCGGGGCACCGGGACATTGCAGAGAGGCCACACTGGAGAGGCCGTTCGTTCGGCAGTAGGCCTTTCTGTGGTGGGTGAGAACAGAGGGTGCGCTCCGGAGCCAGGTCGGCTGGACTCATGGCCAGCCCCCCTCTGAGGCCCCACCCCCACTAGAGAGCCTGAGATCTGCTCTGTCTTCCTCCCAACTCCTACCTAGACACAAACCCCACTCTCCAAGCCCAAGGACAAAGGCCCTGCCCTTCCAGGGCCCCAAGAAAATCCCTTTACATCATCCATATCTGCAAAATGGGCTAACACCCATCTACCTGCCTCATAAGGCTGTCTGAAGACCACACGGAGTTCAATCCTAGTTCCTCTCACTGGTGCGCGTGCACCTGCGGCAGCTCTTGCCCTCTGCCCTGGCCATGTCTGCCCTCAGGGCCCAGGTGAATGGCCTCCCCTGGGGGAGAGCAGGGCCCTATCATCTTTTCCCTCAGCCCCTGCCCTCTCCCCGTTAGGGATCCTTCTAGAGGCGTATCAGATTTCCCTGCTCTGCCCGCCAAAGCCCCCATAGAATAAAACCAAAGTCCTACCGCAAGGACACAGAAGCCCAGCAGGAGCCAGCCCCTGCTACCTTTGGACGTCGCTGCCTGCCCTCTGTCCACTGTCAACTCCAACCAGGCTGGTAGCCTTTCTGTGCCTGGGATTCACGGAGTATGGCGCCACCTCCAAGCTTCTGCTCTAGCTGGTCCCCTGCCAAGGAAAACTCCCTCCTCACAGAGGTCTTGTTCACAGCTGTATTTTCAGAGGTTAGAGGAGAGTTGGGCATATAGGTTATGCTCACTGGGCATCTACTGACAGGCTTAATGTTTCAATGATTGAATGAATAGAATAAATAGCTAAGTTGCAGTGTAGCATGTGATTGAGAACATGTGGACTTAAATCCCCCTGACCACTTCATTTCAAATCACTTTGACTCTCTGAGCCTGTTTTCTCATCTGCAAAGTGGGAACAATAATAACAGTACCTGTTTCAAAGGAGGAACTTGGGGATTAAGGATATCTATAATTCAAGCACTAAATTCGGAGCCTGGCATACTGATGTACTTCTGACCAGCAGTGGCTGGACCTTGGCCCTCCCTGGCTGGCTCCATTAGTCTCAGGCAGTCTATGACCCTTAGATAAACCAGGCCTGGGACCCAGAACACTCTCCCTAGGGTACCTAGCTTTGTATCCCAGGATGGCCAGAGGCTGGCTTCATGGCACAGGGTCTCTGGGAATTTCCTGGCAGGAAGGTTTCTGTTGCCTGGACGTGAGAAGAGCTGATGGGTGGCCAGGGCTGGTGAGAGGTGGCTGCAGGAACACAGCCCTAGCAAGACGGCCGCCCCACCCCCACCTGTGCTCCAAGACCCAGGATGAGGCACCTGGGGTCTGGGCTCATGGAGGCGCTGGTTTGCCCTGCGGGCCCATCACGGACAAAGACTGGGGTCTCCCACCCCCAGCCATCTCATAACCCCTTTGGCCTCAACAGACCAGGTATTTCTGGCAACTCCTGCCCAATGTCCGGGAACCTGAGGAAGCTGAGAGATGGCCTACTGCAATTCTGTCCTGTTATGGACATGGATAAACTGGCAACGTTGCCCAGCAAAGGCGCAGCTATGCCCCAGCCTTTCCACTGCACTCTACAGTTTGCAGGACACACTCACACTTATCAGCCAGCAACAGGGACATCGACCCTCCCAGGACAGAATACGATCTCTTTTGCTGCCTAAAGTTATGCCAGTTTGGGATTCATCCCCTGGAATCTTGAAGATTTCCCTGGTACCCAGTGCAGCCAACCTGGAATTTTGGATGATCCAGAACAGAGCACTGCAGCCCCAACTCCAATCCCCCCATTTGGGGACCACAGGGGAGTCTCATCCCAGTAGGTGCTCCACCCTTGGGCTCCAGCCAGACTATCCCACTGGACCCAGGCTACATCCCTCCTTGGCCAAGATATCTCTAGACATGCGCTGGGAAGGGGAATTGGGGTCCCCAGGGGTTAGCCTATTCCTGGGGTGACTGTGCTTCCCAAGAAGGCCCACCCAGCATGGCTGGCAAAGCTCTCCCACGTGCAGCTGTCAGCCCAGGAGAGGTGAGTCACTGCCCCTCAGAGCCTTTTACAGCAGCTCTTGGGAAAGCCACAGACCTCTACGCCCTGCTCAGTCTTTGCTGCCCAGCTCTCAGCCTCTGATGGCACATCTCTGCCAGCCCCTGGGGACCCCACCCTACTCAGCAAGCATCCAGCATGAGGGAACTGATCTGGAGGACTCAGAACCGAGAGGAGAAACCTTAGCAGGAAAGGTCCTCTCCTACGCAGCTCCTCCTGCCACGTCTGAGAGCCCCTTACCCCTGTAGAGACCCTGATCCACCGCGCGGGTCCTCCATGCAGGGATGTGGCCTCCTCAGCTCACATCAGGCCCTAGCTAGTCCATCACAACTCTGGGGCCCTGGCTGGGAGGTCAGTGGTCAGCAAAGAGTAGGAAGGATGTCAAAGCCCCGCAGGTAGACCGGGGCACAGTGCCCACGGCCTGGGCCCAGGGAGCGCCAGGCTCCACCCTGCCAGCAGTGGACATCCTTACCGTGGCGTCCTCAGCAGCGTGGTGGCCAATGAGGCGGCTGCCCCCAGGGTGCCGCTGTGCCCAGCGACTGATGTCGTAGACGCGACGCTTGATGACCAACCACTTGTCACCCGGCAGGTTGTGCGGGCGGATCTGTTCCCAGCGGAAGGTGGGCAGCGGCGCCCCCAGCTGCGCGGGCCCCTCGCGCGACCCTGGCCCTGCGCCGGGCTTCCCGACGCCACCCATGGTTGCGTGCAACAGTCCTCGGGAACCCGGGACCTGGCTGAGGTCAGAGCGAGACACCGAGGGGAACGTAATCGCGTTCCCGGGGGCTTCCGCCACCGCCCCCCGTCTTCTGCGGCCCCGCCCCGCCGCTGCGGCTGCCGTACGAGCGTGCGCCTACCCAGCTCCCGGCGCAGGAACTTTTCCCTCCCTTATAACCGCGCTGACAGCGCTCGCCGCGCCCCCCGCCCGCGCCGCGAGCCCCCGACCCGTATGCGCTCCAATCACAGCGCAGCGCTCCGGCCCCCATTGGCTGATGGCCGCTCCCGCTGGCGGGGAGGGCGGGGTCCAGGTGGGCACGCCCACCTGCGAGGGCTGCGGCCCCACGCCCGGCCCTGCCTAGGGCATTGCCGCACCGGGTTCCTGGCTCGGTGGGTGGGGCAGGGACGGGGACTTAAAACCCACAGGCGATGTCCGCGCGCCCTTGTCGGCCCAGGCCTGCGCCTCGCGGGGTCTGGAACGCCCTTCTGTGAATGATGGGCTTCTAGCCGCACTTCCTACAACCTTAAATCCCGAGCTCACAGAGATGGGGAAGTATCTCGGGGTGACTGCAGCTTTCAAACAATGGGCCCCCAACGTCCACCCCAGTGGCCCCCCCACCACGACAGGAAGACCCCCGCCCCCAGTCCCTCAGCTTGGAACGGAAGTGGGGGCACTGGCGTGGGTGAGTGGGACACGCAGTCATTCACCGGGTGCCTCAGCTGGGTGACTTACTCGTTAAGGTACCCTCCCGTATTTATTTAAATAAATTCAAGTGTTTTCGAGAGTGTCCGTTGCTCCCCAGATTACTTTGTATTTTTTTGAGATGAAGATACTCCTAACCATTAGGAGTGCACACCCAACACGGAATGACAGCAGCCGAAGGTTATGCTACAGGGCAGCGGGTGTCAAACTTGAGTGCGGAAATCACCCAGGGCTTGTTAACAGACTGCTGGGCTCACCCGGAGGTGGGATGGGACAAGTCTGCTTCAGGTGCTAGAAGCTTCCTCACAAGCTTCCAGGTCATGCTGATGGGCTGATGCGGTGAATACACGTTGAAAACCCTGAGTATAGTTCTCCAATATGCTAACATTTTATCTTGGTTTAACAATTTGTAGGAAATCATAGTAGCTGATATTTGTGCATCAGGTGGGCCAGAGCCCAGAGAAGGGCTGAGGGGACCTCTGGGTTCTTCCTTGGTATAAGAAGCATCTGCATTCCATCGCCAGGACAGCTGGTAAAGCTGTGATGTCACTGAGGTGCCCTCCAACCCCCTCCTTCAGAGGAGTGTGACTGGCAGCTGAGACTGGAGACACCCAGCAGACACCTTGCCCCCACCACGTTCACCCATGAGGATGGAGGAGGCAGCTCTGGAGGACGTGGACCCCCTGCACCAACATCCAGCCCCACCGCAAGGGAAGGTGGCCCTCACCCCATCTTTAGCAGCCCTCAGGGGTCAGATGCTCCCCCTGACCTCTTTCTTGGGCCCTGGCCTAGTCTCAGCTCACGGGTGAGGCAGCTGGGGAGTTCGTGGGTTAGAACCTTCATTTGCACCCAGACAGATAAGGAAGACAAAGGCCTGCACGGGGTCCCACAGGAGGTAAAGCAAGAAGCAAGCTCAGGGCCGTGCCACCATCTGAGCAAGGAGAGGTAGTCCAGGCCTCCTGCCACCTGGAATTGTGTCCCCTTAAAGCCTGAACTGTGTTACTGTCTCACAGCCAAACCAACAGCTTGGCACTTGATTTCTCTCCATGCCTTGGAGCCTTCCAGTAGGTTGCTTTACCTCTCTGGGCTTCAACCAGTGGATCCTGCAACATTCCTGGAGTCAAGGGGCCTGGGGGAACTTGGAAATCCATTATCCCCAAATCCTGTCAGGGATGCTGAGGACTCTCAGCCCACTTGACATTCCTGAGCTGCTGTTAGGTCACTCCCAAGGCCTTGGGTTTAGGCAGGGGGATGGGAAAACTAGCCAGAACCTGAAGCATTGGTGGGGAGGGTTAGCTTTGAGGGGAGCCCCTCAAATTACTCAAATACAGTCCCTGTCCATCCCCTGATGGGCTCCTCCTGCTGTGAGCTGCCACACAGGCCTCTTGTTGCAGACACTGAAGTCACCACCCACTATGGAGTGCCAACCACTATCCTGGAGCTCAGTGATGCTTGCACAGGCCAGCAGTGACCCCCTAGAGCAGATTACAAAAAACCTCTGGGCCTATCAGAAAAAGCAGTCACAGAGCCTGGGCACCTGTCTGCAGCAGCCACACGGAGCAGACTAGAGCTTTAGGATCTGGCTTGCACTAAAGCCCACGACACTGAGCTGGTGGGCGCTGGCCACAGCTCTTCTGAGAAGGGTGGGGCTTGGGGAGCAGGGGCCATGGAACTGTTCAAGAGCTGTGGCCCTACCAGCTACTAGAAGGTTCTCCCTGAGGATGTCACAATGATGGCACAGCAGAGCTCTGAGAAAGCCCCTTAGTGAAAAGAGGCTGCAGATGAATGGCTAACAGGCACATGAAAAGATGCTCAACATCATACTCATCAGAGAAATGCAAAACTACAATGAGCCATCACCTCCATTAGAACAGCTGTTACCCAAAGCACCAGTGTTAGCAAGTGTTAGTGAGTGGGGAAACTGGAACCCTGTAACTGCTGATGGGATTGTGAAACGGTACAACTGCTATGGACTATAGTATGGAGGTTCCTCAAAGAATTCATCCTATCATCCAGCAATCCCACCTCTGGGTAGACAACCAAAGGAAGTGAATGCAGGGTCTCAGGAAGACTCTTCACGCCCATGTTCACAGCAGCATAATTTACAATAGCCGAGAGGTGGAAGCCACCCAAAGGTCTGTCAATTATCCCCAGGAGGTGGATTATAATGTGGCCTATGTATACAATGGAATATTATGAAGCCTTAAAAAGGAAGTGTTGCTGGGCAACTGCATCTGGGGGGTCTCTCCCCAGGCACTGGGTGAAACCTCAACCTGGACTGGGGAGGGTTCTTGACTCTGAACAAGAAAGAATTCTCCAGCAGGTCGGATGAGTGTAGGTAAGGATGGAATTCATTGAAGTGAGAGTAGAAATGGATGGCAGCTGCCTTGCAGGTTGGCTGAGAGCAGGAAAGTGCTGAGGGATGGAGGGAAAGCTCACTGAACTTCTCAGCATAGGGCATGTCCCCCTTGCCAACTGCTAAAGCCAGGGTCACCTGGTGTCCCATGTCCACGTGGATCTGCATGGCATGGGGACTAGCCCCTACTATCCCAGGATTTGGGGGTGCTGTGGAGCATGGAGTGGAGTGAGATTATGTTCTGAGAACTTCCCAAAGAAAGGAGACTTTCAGGCAGGCTACTAAAGAGCAGATCGCTAAGCTGCAGTTCCACCTGGGTCACCCAGGCGACGGGAACTTGCAGGCCCAAATCGCTCTCAGCAGCCCCTCCCTACTCATCAGGAGTAAAGCGGAGACAGGCTTAGAAATAGAATGAAATAGCCAAGAGACTAAGATGCTTACCACTGGAAAAGCGCAGGGACAAAACACAGTAAGTTGAGCAGTGAGGAAGTTTTATTTAAAAATACACCTTTAGACTTTTGACTATTTTCCTTCTTTGTGGCAAAATATATTTAGCTGCATAACCTTATTGTATATTTCTCTCAGGGGCCAAGCCTTTCTAATCAGAGACTTAAGACTGGTAGCTGATGCTAATCGTCTTTAAAAAAAAAAATACACCCTTAGACTAGCGGTTACCAAAGAGAAGGGGGTGGGGAGGGGCGGTCGGGAGGGAGGGAGAAGGTGTGACTAAGGGGCATTATGATGAGCACACAGTGTAGGTGGGTCACAGGGAAGGCAGCACAGACAGAAGAGAAGCAGTGACTCTCTAGCATTTCACTACACTGATGGACAGGGACTGCAATGGGGTGGGGGGGGACTTCATAATAGGGGTGAATGTAGTAACAATGTTGCTCATGTGAAACCTTCATAAGATTGCATATCGACGATACATTAATAAGAAAACAATTTATCGTAAAAAATTTAATAAAATAAAAGTACGCCCTCAAAGAAAGGAAAGTGCGGGCAATATCGGGAAGGAGGCACGCTTGAAAGGCTGGGGATTGTTTTTTAAGGATTTTCAGGAATGCAGTAAAGGGCCAGGAGTATAGACTTGTAAAGTGGTATCAAAATGTTTATCTCCGGGTGAGAGACATCGTGTCTCCTCTCCTCCACTATCAGTCCTCCAGGTAATTCTGCAAAATTAACTTCACACAAGAAATTGGTAGGCTCCTCTCCAGGATAGCAGCGTCCCTCTGGGAACATCAATCAAGACTGCCTGCCCTGCCCCCGAAGCGGGTTGAATTATTGTCTGTTTATCAAAGAATATGTTAGGAATCTTACTTCCTAACTTCCTGGTTTTTAAGATGGAGTCCCTCCCATTCCTACTGTATACTGTGTATATCTCGGCTTTCGGAAATTAACCATGACGCCTGTCTCCTGTCTCTGCCCTATCTCAGAAGGAAATCCTGTCCCCTGCTACATACAATATGGATGAACCTTGAGGACAATTATGTTAAGGAAAATAAACCAGTCACAAAAAGACAAATACTACATGATTTCACCTGTAGAAGTATAAAGTGGTCAAATTCATAGAAACAAAAAGGAGAATGGTGGTTGCTAGAGGTGGGAGGAGAGGGGTTGTTTAATGGGCACAGAGTTTCAGAACTGCAAGATGAAAAAGTTCTAGAGATCTGTTCCACAGAAATGTGAATATACCTAACACTACTGAATTGCATCCTTAAAAATGGCTCAGATGGTAAATTTTGTTTTTTACAATATAATAAATGGAAAAAAGGGAGGAGGGCCTGCAAAGGTCATTTAGTCCAATCTTCCCACCTCACAGATGAGAAAACCGAGGCCAAGACAATGACTTGCCTAGGTACACAGCCCTAATAGCATCAAATCAGGACAGGCTTGGCAAGATGTCAAATGGGACACAGCAGAGTTACATAACCCCAGCGATGTGGGGCTGGGCTCTGGCTTAATGGCCATGGTCATGGCTAGCTTTTAAGAGGTAGCTACATGTGTCAGGGCAATTAGAGAGGCCTGAGTGGGTTATGTAGAAAATTCATCAAGAAGAGCAACTTCCGTGTGGCTGTCAGCTAACCCTCCCCTCCCAAATCCAAGGGCCAGAGCCCTGAGCCCTTGTGGACAGCCCACCTCCAGCCCCAGAAGCCTGCAGACAGGGGCAGGGGCAGGTTAATGGGGTAAAAATGCAGGAAATGAACCCAGATCAAAATCCAGCTCTGCCGCTGCCTGAGCCACAGTTTCTACATCTCTGGAAAATAGGCAAGGGCCTAATTCAGTACCAGGCACACAGCAGGTGTCAGTAAAAGGACTCTAGGATGTTGGCCAATACCAATGAATGAGCTGGACTCATTCATTCCTATCCTGGGGTCACCATTTCCTCTAATGCCTCAATTGATTCTTCTGCAAAATGGGAAAAATAATATCTTACTGGTTTCTGGGAAGATTAAGTAAATCCATTCATTTTAAGAGCTTCAAGCCAAGTCCCAGGACATAGTAAGTGCTCAGATAATAGCTATTGTTGGGAGATACTGAGGCCAGACTGTGTGTGTGTGTGTCCCTCAGTCCCTTACAGCACGCCAGGTGGTCTCAGCTATTATTTGCTCACCGTGGCCCCAACCAGGCCTGACAAAGGAAATGCTATCTCCGGAGAAGGCACCGTCCGCCAGAGATCTGAAATATTGCCTGGTCTCTCCTTGGCCCTGGGGTAGCTCAGCCAAGGGCACAGAAGCCAGGGGGAGGGACAGGCAGCTCCAGAACCCAGAACTTCTTTGTCCCCCGCTGACACAGGATTGACCCTGGGGAGGACAGGAGGAGATGTGTATGCAGGAGAGGATGCAAGGGTCAGCCCATGGCACACAGCAGCACGAGCCCTTCCCTGACACCTCCACGCCTTCCTTGCTTTAGTTCCTCCATCTGACACTCCCTGGTATGGTACCTGTGCATGGTTTTAGGGCCAGTCTCCCCTGAGACTCTCAGCTCAGGCCTGGGTGCCCCCAGCACCAGGAACAGTGGCTGGAGCACAGGCATTGCTGGCATTTGTTGAGTGAAAGCATGGATGTCTGTGAAAGGAGGCCTAATCAGTGAGCATCTGATTGGGGAGGGGATTCAAATCACAGATGGAGGTGGCAGGTGGGGAGTGGATAGGGGAAGAGTGGGTAGGGGAAGAGAGGGGGAATCTGAGAGGCCAAGGGAAAAGGCTGCAGGCAGAGAGGGTGATAGGGTCGGTAGCCTCCATGCAGTCCTGGCCAGCCCACAGCCGGCCTGACCTACCAGCTGAGCAGCACCAAGGCCTCAGGCCGATAGGGAAGGCCCCTCGAGGTATCATCAGTCCCAGGAGACATTGACCCAGAAGTCGCTGGGACCCTCACTCCTCCAGAAGGACACCCACAGGCCCAGGCTCACATCCCTACAGGTGGGGAGGGGATCAGGCACCGCGAGACACCTGCCCAGGTCCACCCCGAGGGCTGAGAGACCCACCTCCTTCCACCTGTGACTCCTGTCCCTTTCTAAGAACCCACGAAGACCCCCGCTGGTGCAGAGTCATCAGAGCCACTGCCTGTGCTGCTGGCAGACATCACCCATCAATCCTACACTGCCCTGCCCTTGCCAGGCAGCCTGAGTCTGGACTCCCAGCTTCTGTCAGAGGCAGGGAGACGAGAGGGGGATCTGCCCAAGGCCCCCCCCACCCCCAAGAGGCAGCAGCGGAGGCAGCCTCAGCGCTATTCTCTCTGCAGCCGGCCACTTCACCGGGGTGGGGAAGCCGGGCTCATCCCTCAGCGCCCACAGCCTCATGGCACTTCGGGGAGGACTGGAGGAGTGCTCCCTAAAGCAATGCCTTCAGAATTGGGGCTTAATCCCAAGCACGAGGGCGAGCTAGGAAAGGATTTGGTTTCATTCCTTTGGATCCCCAAGCCTTGGCCTGAGCCCCGGGCACAGGAGTGAAGGCGCGTGGCTGCCCAGCCTCTCCCTTCCTTTATTACAAAGCCATCCTTTATTACATAGAGATCGGGTTACATTCCACCCGAGGAGGAAATCAGACGTGGTGAGGGATGTGTGCAGGTTGGACCCCACTCCTGTGTACAGGGCTTGGCAACCTCAGCCCCTGTTGCCTAAATGGCAACCCACAGCTGAAAACAGCTTGGGCGTCCTGAGGCCCTGTCTCTGTTTTCCTTTGGGAGAAAAGTACCCCAATCCTTCCAGCAGTGGGGGGGGGGGTGCAGGGCCTCCTGGAGCACAGGGCTGAGAGCTGAGAGGGGGAAGGTCAGGTGGGAGGGTGGAAGGAGAGGCCCTGATCCGTCTTAACGCTTTGGGGCAGTTCTCAGGCAGGTGCAGATCAGGGTGAGAGGTGGCCACAAGGGGGTGCTGGTGGCCCAGGGCTTGGAAATAGGGTTGGGGATAGCTTGGATATCAGGCCACCCCGTATGGTTCCTTTCTGAGGACAAGGCAGCAACAGCCACTCCTGAGCCTGGGCAGGGGGTGCTGGCTACCCCGGGTGTTCCCCTCCCAGGGGCGGAGCCTCTCAATACGGGTCCAGGCTCCTTGGTCTTTGGTGCTTTCTTGAAAGTCCCTGCTGGCTCTAGCACCACTGGGGAAGACAGAAGGGTCACCTCGTGAGGTCCTATCTGTCCTGGGACAGACAGTTGATGCCGGCTCTGTGCTGCCTCCACGGCCTGGCCATTTGTCTGTCTGTCCAGCATCTCACTCAGGGCTGGTTCCAGGACCCCGTCTTCCTGTCTGTCTCTCCTAGGGCAGATGTTGGTCCCAGCCCCGAGCCCCATTCCAGGCCTGCGCCATGCCCTAGGCCTCCTGGGGGAAGAAGCCAAGCTTGGCCAGTGACATCTCCTTCCGCAGCCGCGTGATCTCCCAGAACATCGGCTCCGCTGTAGGCAAAGGGGGAGGACAGCTTGGTGACAGCTCAGGATGACCTAAAGCCCCCTCCCCTGACTTTGGAGCAGGATAGCTGGTGGGCACCCTAGGGCTCCCCAGTCCTCCAGGACAGATGACCTTGGTGAGTGGCTGGAGCTCTCTGAGGCTCCACCCTGAGAACTTGCAAACTGTTGGGTGCTTAACACACTCGAGGGGTCTATACCACGCTGGTGGCAGAGGCGATGGTCACCCTCACAGCCTGACACAGACATGCACGTACACAGGGCCATGTACCTGACAGTCTGCAAACGCTTTCCAGCCCCGCCTCCCTGGGGTCTCACACTGCAGTGGGAGGTGGACAGCCATGAGGCCACAGCAGGGGGGCGAGGAGATTCACAGGGACACATCATGGTGCAGGGCCTTGAATGTCAGGCCAGTAACAGGAAATGTCCCTCCCGGGCCCCGGGGGTGGGGGTAGGGGTTGGGGTGGGCATCCCGGTAGCTTTCCTGGGGAGGCAGGGCCGGGAGGGTCCTTCTGCAGCTTATCTCTCCACTGAACTCAGCACGGTTCGCCAGACTTTCACTAACCCACAGACTTCCCCCTCACTAAGTAAGTCCTTGCCGCAAAGCACGTGGGTTGCCCGGGCCACCCTCAGCCCTCCCCGCATCCCCGCCGGCCACCAGGGGGCGCTCACCGTCCTGTCGCACCAGGCCTTGCTGGATGTAGCGGATGTAGGTGAAGAAATTGCACACTGCCGTGATCTGTGGGCAGAAGCACACAGGCTGTGACCCGCCAGCCCTCACAATTGCCCCAAAAGCCAGGGCAGCTTGGAGATCACAGCAGGAATCCCCACGTCTGGTCAGAGCCTCATAATGCTCCCTGAATGGTACAGGGTTGGGCTCTGAAGTTGAATTAACAATAGCAGTGCTATCACTATCCTGATACAGACAACAGCAGCCACTAACGTTTAATCAAGCATTTAATGAGGCAGACATGCTTGTCATCCCATTTCACACGTGGAGAAAATGGAGTCACAGCAGCCACCACCTTCCGCCTGGTCTTAGGCTGGTTTCCCTAGAGGCAGAGCCTAAGACAAAAGATTTTTATGCAACTCACAGGAGAGGGAGGGAGACAGAATGTGGAGTGGCAGCAAAGGAGGGTGTGGCTTCAGATGGAGCCTTCTGTGGCCTGATCCACAGGGGCTCTGGATCCCAGAGGGGGATCCACCCTGGGGCAAGAGGCCGGCCCTTTATATCCCCTGAGCCATCAGTCACTGGCTGAGGTCTGTGGGGGTGAGGGGCACAGAGGGGCACCTACGAGCCGTTAGTGGCCAGTGCTCTCAGCAGTGGGGAGATGGGGTCCCAGCCGGGGGAAGTTCTAGATGTCACTGGGCACAGGAATGTCTGGTGTGGATCCTTCTGTTGAACCCTGGTTGGGATCAGAAAGGGAAAAGGGATCTGGAGCCACAAAAAGGCTGTGTGCCCAGATGCATGGGGTGGAGGCTGCAGCAATGAGACTGGATGCAGAACGGGGAGACCCCAGGTCAAGGCTGCATGGCCCTGGGAAACACCCCTTTCCTTTCTAAGGCTCCGACTCCCCATCTGTAAATGGGAGCCCAGCTTGCTGCCCACAAGGGGGTGAGGGGTGCCAGGAACTCGCTGGATACCCTGGGGAAGCTGTCAGGACCAGACAAGCTGCCCTCCCTGATCAGTCTGCTGCCCAGTGACAGAGCCATTTGTCCACTTAAGTCTCCATGAAGAACCTCTGGTAGGTTAAGGGGAGGGGAGGAGATGGTTCCCCAAAGAGGGCTTGTCCACACTGTTATATCTTTGCACCATGCTTCAGAGTTTTTCAAACAGATTCTGTGTTGTTCCCTATAATCCTTTTAACACCCCATCTTTACCCCCAGCTCAGTGAGGTCCCCTGATCCAACCTGGGTCACCCGAAAAGGGAGGGCAACAACTGGGATTCCTGGACATCCCTCAGCACCCATGGCTGTCAGGCTCATGTGACAGACATGCCCCAGAACCTTCTGGAAAGCATGACACCAGAGCCCAAGCCAAGAGTCAGGAGTCTGGAACTTCAACCTGAACTCTAGTGTCACTCCCTTGACTAGGTTACATGAAACAACAGAGGTGACAGGTACCATTCCCACGATCATGTTTTGGCAAGCCAGAAAACAGGTGCCTCAGTCCTTCACCCACAAGGAACTGAATTCTGCCAATAGCCGCGTGAGCTCAGAAGAGGGTGTAACCATCTGACTTCTTGGACACAGCCCATGAGACCCTGAGAAGACTTAACTAAGCTGTGCCGAACTCCTAACCCAGGTAAACAGTGAGATAATAAACGGGTGTTATAAGCACTAAATTTATGGTAATTTGTTAAGCAGTAATAGCAAATTAATATACCTGGCTTGGCTGGGTGGCCCAAGTCAGTCTCTGTACCTCTGTGAGCCTATGCCCTTCTCTGTAGATAGAGGTTGTGCTCCCAGGTTCCAGTGCAGGGAGCCCCTGAGGAGCCAAGTGACACTCCCACTGGATGACTCACCCTGGCTCGGGAGGACGGCGAGATGTAGTAGTGGCTCTTGGAGTCCCCAAGCCGGATTCGATGGTGACAGGCACGAGCCAGCCCGCTCAGGGCACATGTACTAGGGGCAAGCAGAGGGGGCCAGAGAGGCCAGCTGGGGCTTGCCACCTGGCTCACGCAGGTAGGATGCAGCAGCAAGCAGGATGCACAGGGAGAAGGTGGGGGCAGCAGGCAAACAGACATGGGGGTGGGGCCTGGCACCCTCTCCCCAGGCCCCAGCTTCCCAAGGAGCCCAGGGCCAGGCCTAGGAGAGGGGGCAACCCCAATCCCTGGGATTGACCTTTAAACCAAGCTGGACCCTATCCCTAACCGCCCTGATCTTGCCCCTATTGGGCAAAAGAGACTGGTCACGCTCACATCTGGTTTACTCAAGCTCTACCCGCCAGAGCAGCTAAAAAAATGCCCCCACCTACTTCACTGGGGCTGACTCTGTCCCTTCTCCCAGCTGAGCAGGTATATACTTTCTCCTCTACTTGGTCACCAAGTCCACAGGGTAGATCATGCCAGCAGCGCCTGGAACCCCTTTTGCCCTGAACCCTTCAGCTCCTTCCAGCCAGCCCTCTGCCTCGTCTCTCCCCTTCTTCTCCATGTTACATATTACACGTCACAGGCAGGGGCTCCCACATCTAGCCCATCATTGTTCCCTGCTGCTTTCCTGCTGGCCAGCAAATAGTTACAGAGAATCCTGAGTGAAGGAAGGCTACATAGGCTCCTTTGCTGCGGGACTTATCATAGTCTTTGCTGCCCCCAGGTTCACTGTGACTCTGACTGGTATGGGGAACCCCCTTTTCAAGGAAAAGGAGTCTATCGAGTTAAAGCTGGTCTATTGAATTAAAGCCCAAACCTCATTCCAGGCTCTTTACACTCTGGCCACAGGCCCCTTCTACAGTCTCAGCCCCATTGCCCTGCCCACCCCACTGCTCCACTTACTGGCCTGTGGTGTTGCCATTAAAACCCGAGTGTCTCATACCTTCCCTCATTCTGTTCCTTCTGCCTGCAAGGCCCTTCCTTGCTTGGCAAACTGTCCCCCTCTGTGACAAGGATCCCACCATAGGGCCTCCCTTGCAGGCCAGATTCTGGGCCGCCAAGGGGAGGTGCTCACCAGGCTCTGCCCCTTGCCCCACCCTAGCTATTTTGTTCTGCTGCTAGCGGCTGCTCAATGTCAGCTGAGCAGCAGGAAGACAAGACGCCAGGGCCATTCGGGTATTTATTAGCAGAAGGCATGGCCAACAGCTGACATCGCTTACATGTCAACTGGGGCCCAGAATCCGCTGTGGGAGAGCGGCGGAGCAGGAGGGGGACACACACCAGGCCAGCCAGGAAGAGGGAGGCCCCAGCGCCTGGACCCACTGGGGTGCCTGGGGGTCCATGACTGGAGACAGGGATTTCTGCCAAAGATGCCTCCTTGCCCTGCAGGGGAGCAGTTCCCACCTTTCTCCTGCCAAGCTGGTATGCCATGGCCCCTGCCCACCCTCAGGTCCCACCCCAGGACCCCCGTAGGCAGGCCTGGGGCTCAGGCCGCCCTGGCAGAGCCCAGCCTATATGGGACTTTCTCAGGTGGCAGGAGAGTAAAGGGTTCTGAGCTTACCTGGTGCTCCCACACTTGACTGCAGCCACGTTCACTGTGGGCAGTGCCTGTGAAGCCACCGGCTCGATGGTGAGTGTGTTGTCCTCCACAGCAGCCCGGACCAGTGCAGAGAGCTGCGGCAGACCAGGGTGGTGGGCAGGGTTGGTGAGGGGCTGGCGGCTGGCTCGGGGGCTGGGCCTCCCAACTGGCCGCCCTCTGCCCTGCCTCACCTCCTGCGTGGTGAAGTCCAGGCAGGGACCCACGTCCTCCCGGTACACCCTTTCCAGGAAAGGGGAGGTCTTGTCCAGGGTGGGCGACTCCCTCCAGGCTTGGAACTCTGCAAACAGGGTTGTGTCCACCTGCAGGAGGTGAGCCAGGCAGTGTGGGGGGAGGTAGAGAACCAGGGGGGTGTAGGGCAGGCCCCAGCGTGCCAGCAGGTCTGTCCTTGGGGCCACGCTGGGAAGTTGGGCCCGAGGAAGAACTCCCTTCTCCCCTTTGCACAAGAATTTAGAACTCAGAGCTTCCCTCCCAGGTGAGCTTTCGGTTTCCTCGCACTGCATGATTACAGACTTGGGTCTGGGGCCTTGTCTTGAAGGCCTCCACTGCCAACTGAGGAGGAGAAGCTGAAGAGTTACTCTGCAGGTCCCCACAGGTACATGCAGGTCCCCAAGCGTCCCCCCCACACACACATGGGCACAGGAAGGAACATATTCTGAAGGGCAACTCGCTGCCACCTGGGGGCACATGCAGAGTGAATGAGGCTGGGACTGGGCAGAGGGGGCAGCCTCTCTCTGGAGCCATTACCTGTCGGGAAAAGGAGAGAGAGGTAGCGGAGGTGGGGGTCTCAGGGGGTTCCCCAGGCGGGAGCTGCCAGGCTGGCTCATAGGTGAGGTGAACCGCCTTGCTGGGGACCACGCAGAGGAGCAGGGAGAGGAGCGGGGCCAGCCCGGGCTGGGCGGGCGGCCGGTGGGGCAGGCAGACGGCGCACAGACAGACAACAGGAAGGAGATGTTAGTGTCCGGTCGGAAGCTTAGAGCTCAGAGGGGGCTGAGAGGCCTGGAAGCTCTGGAGACACAGACTGGCACAGAGCTGGGGCCTGCCTCGCATCGCAGACCCCAGGAAGCGGACTCTCACTACCGCCCTCGCTGGGTAGGCCCTGAGCTGAGCCCCTGACATTCTGAAGGCCCCATTCATGTGAGGAAACTGAGGCGCTGACAGGTGGCTTCACTTGCCCAAAGACCCACGACCAAGGACATCTCACGGTCCAGTGTCCAGCCTGGCCCAACGACCTCACCCAGCTGAGGGCAAGGGAGACAGCCCCTCAAAGGCCACAACTGTCTCGGCACCACAGCTTGAGGGCTCTGAGGACCCTCAAGTCCAGGAGTGTCACAAGGTGGCGCTAGGCCTCAGGGCTACAGGCACACAGGGCTAAGGCAGCCTCTAGGCTGAGGAAGTGTGTGTCTCTGCAGACCCCCAAGGGCCGGCCCTCAGTCCTAAGAACAACTCCAGGAGCAGAAAATAACACCTATTGCTTGGAAGGGTGGGGAGTGGTTATCAGGCACCCCCCAGACTGCACAGCACGGAGGCTGAGGGCCATGCCCCTCATATCATGAGGAGCCTGTCCAGCCAGCTCAGACAGAGGACACAGAGGCCCAGAGAGGGGAGCACAGGCTGCAGATCACACAGAGGTCAGGCCTGGTCCTCACTGGGCCCCACCGGCGGATGGTGATCACTGCATCCTTCCCTGTGTCCACTGCCACCCACCACCCCTCACCTCTTTGCCCTCCATGTCCAGGGTGAGGGTGTGTCCTGCAGCAGGGCACATGGCAGGGCAGAGGGCGCTGCTCGTGCTCTTATGACGCAAGTGGCCCTTGCGGGGCCCGGTCTTGGTGGGACTCAGTAGCTGTGGGTGAAGCTCACGATTGGGAGAAGCAGGTGTGGACGTGATGACCAGTGTCTTCAAGGCTGTCACCTCTGCCTGCAGCATGTCGATCTGCCCAGGACGAGACAGCCAGCAACCTTAGCCTGGAGTTGGTGTCGCCCTGGCTACCACCACCGGCCACCAGCTCAGGACAGCCAGCCGCAGCAACAACTAGCACCTAACCCCACCCATTACCCTTGGAACAGCCTTGGAGATGGGGACTGAGGCACCCATTTTCACATAGGGAAACTGAGGCTCAAAAAGGAGACATGGCCTGTCTGATGTCACGCTGTAACCCAGGAAGAGCCCAGGCCTCGTGGACAAAAAGGCTCCAAGGGAGGAGGTTACCTGCTGCGGCCCACACGGCCGGGTGGATCTTCCGAGGCCCTGAAGGGCCCCAGGAAGGCCTCTGCGTGCAGTGGAAACGGCAGAGTCAGCGGCCACCTCCAACAGCCTGGCCCCACCCTTCCGGTCCCTGGCTTGCCCACCCTTAGTGGCTGCACCAGGCCTGCGGGGGTCCGAGAGGGGAAGCACAGGTCAGCACCTGCCAGGCTGGGAGGACCCACCTTGCCCCGGGCCTCCTTCAGCTGCTTCTCAGATGCCGCCTGCTTCATGTTGGCTTCTCGCACCATCTTGTGGGCCTCCTGGGGAGAGGGCAGTTCTGTGTGAGTGGTGAGGAGCCAGGCACGTCAAGCAGACCCATCCCAGGCTGCCCCCAGGGCTGGCTGGCCACCATACCTCGAACAGGCTGGCTGTCAGCTCCTCCAGCTCCTGTTCCAGCTGCTCCCGCACCTTGGACAGCCGCTCACACTCCTCATCCTTCAGCTTCAGCTCCTGGGGGCACAGGGTGAGCAGCTGTCAGGGCCACAGGGGACCCCAAGCCTGGCACTTGGGGGACCAGGCCCACCTGACAACAGGCTCCATACCCATTACATAGCCCTCTGGGCCCAGAGCTGACATCCTGCGTTGCTCCATAGTTTATGATGCATTTTCCATTCAGCTCACAGCATGGGGTTGAAACCCCACCTGCCAATTTATTAGAGCTCCAAATAGGAGCTCAGAGAAGTTAAGGCTCTGAGAGTCATTTACAAGTCGGGGAGACCAGGTTTGTCCTTTGTCTGTACCTCCCCCGTGGCCAGCACAGGCGTGGCATGCCAGTGGCCTTGATAGGTGTGCGGTACCTCTGGGCATTCAGTGAGAGCCCACAGCTGTCCCAGGCGGGCCCCTAGTCCCCAGGGCTCCCTTGCCCCGCCCTTGGATCCCACCTTCTGGGCTTTGAGCAGCTCCTCCTTCAGGAACTCGGAGCCCTTCTCCCGGATCTCCATGGAAGAGCTGCGTAGGCGCGACACGTCCAGCTGGGTGGCTGCAGGGCCCTCCTCTCCTTGAGCCTCCTCCCTGACAGAGGTCTCCATCCGACCTCCTGGGGACTCCCCGTGGCTTTTGCAGGGGCCCACGCTCTTCCAGGGGACTGGGACAGCTTTGAGGGGCGGCGGGTGGCCCTCGTCTGGACAGGGCTGGCTGCGAGGCAAACAGCAGATACAGGATGGGGTCCTGAGACCTGGAGAGCTGAGCCCAGGGACTAACCGTGGGCAGTGCGTCTGCCACTCTGGGCCTCGGTCTGCCCGGTGAGGATATCACCAGCGTTGTCACAAGGGCAGCATGACCGAAGGATGGGGCTCATTCACCTTTGTCAACCACCCCCTGCAGCCCAGGGCCTAGGGCTGTGCTCCGCACACAGCAGGTGCTCAGTCTGTGTTTGTCCGACAGATGATTCTGAATGCATCAGTGTGAGAGCCTACGTTCCCCTTTTGGCAGTGGGACAATCCCAGTGGCCCTGCCTGAAGGGACACTGAGTGGATCAGAGATGTGCATAAACCTTGGCACACAGCAGATGCCTAAGTGAGAAGAACTGCCTTTGCTGTCACTGTTAATGCAAACGTTATGCAAATTTGGTTCCATTTAGGGTGGACCAGAGTGGAATGGCCAGCCAGGGTGGACAGGGCTGAGGCAGGAAGACTGCAAACAGCACCTAATTGTGGACCTCGTGGGGAGCAGTCCCAGCTCTCACCAGTCTACCCTGGGACCTCAGGCAGACACCCCCTCTCTGGGCCTCAGGACCCTTCTCTCCCTGAAGCTGGAGACCTAGAGGCCGTGTGGGGTGGGGCCACAGCCTACGCACCCCCCCACCATCCACACTCCCACCTTGCTGCAGACCGTGGGGAGGGAGAGGGGAAGGGAGAAAAGGGGAGAAGTGGGGAGGGACGGCGGAAGGAGAGGCCGCCGCCAGCACTGGTTTGTGCCAAGACAGCACCTCGGGACTTGCTCACTCAGCAAAACCAGCAGCTCATGAGCCAGAAGGTTCTAAGCCGCAGTGACTGAACTGAGGGTGGGGGCTGGGCCAGGTCACCTGATAACAGTGGGGAAGTGGAGGGAAGGGGGCTCAGGGGAGCCCGCACAGGAAGCAGGAAAGACAGGGCCAAGGGGCTGTGGGATTCAGGGTTGCTGAGGGGAATATGGAAGGCAAGGCTGGGGACAGTCCCTTCTCCCTGTCGTCTGGGCCTTGGGGTGCTCACCAAGCAGTCCCTGAACCTGTTTCGTCCCAGGGAACCCAGCAATGAGCCCGTGTCCCAGCCCTCCATGTGGCTCTGCCCAGCTGTCCAGCCTGGCCTGCTCTCTGCTTTCAAACTAGCCTGGAGTGCGGCCTTCAAGGACCTTCAGGCAGGGACACAGGCTTTGATGAATAAAGCGGGAACACACATCCAATGCTCTATCAACAGTGTTTACGCCAGACACAGATCTTCCCTAATCCTGTGTGTGGGGGGGGTCTCATTGACAACAGGGTCCCTGAAGCTTGTGGGGATGCAGCAGCGCTGGGGCAGCTCTAGGCTGGGGTCTGCACCCGGGGGAGTGCACTGTCCACATGCTACACAGGGCGCTCTGCCCCTGTGATCTCATTTAAAGCTCTCAAAGTGCCCCTGGTATTGTTTCCATTCTACAGATGAAGGCAGGAGTCTCAGAGAGGTGACGGAACTTGCCCAGGGCCACATAGGCATAGGGGGTGGAATTGGCGCAATCTGTCTAGGGATCAAGGGCTGCTAGGCCAGGGACTCTGACGCTCCTCCTTGGCTGCAGCAGGGAAATCTGACCTAATTCTGGGCTGAATTGGCTTCTCAGACTCTGCTCAGGCCCAGAAACTGCTTCCCAGGAGGGAGGGCCAGGCCTAGGGAGACTGGTTGGGAGCAGAACCCAGGGCTGGACAAGCCTGGGGTCTGTGCCAGGCTCTGACTTGGGGTACGCAGGAGCCCCTGGAAGTCACTGAAATCCTCTGACCCTGCTTCCCCAACTGTAGGATGGGGGTAAACCCTGCAGGAGGTGCACTAATTAGATGAACAAGTCTCGGATATGGCACCAGGTAAAGAGTGTGTAACCCCCGGCTACACTAGGCAGACGCCCCACCACGCCTGCCCAGGCTTTGGGTCCTGCAGCTGAAGCCACAGCCTCAGGGAGGCGACCCCACAGGGAGTCTGGAGGCCCAGGCCCAGCCATATCTCCCCAGGTGAGAGAGGATGGCCCTGGCCACTCAGGACTGGCAGGGGCAGGAGGCCCCACCTCAGGAGCTGCCCACTTCGGGAGAATGAGCAGAACTGTAGGCCAAGGGTGGGGGGTGACCCACAGAGACAGCACAGGGCACAGGGCAGAATCCAGGGATCACACACCCAGCCCTGGTGCCTTCCCCACTGCAAAGACAACCCCGCCATTGTCCACACCCCCTTCCTAGGAGAAAAAGGCCATGAGCGCCGCCCACAAGGACCAGACTCCGTCCACCCAGGTGGTCTAGGCCTGTGACCCCAGGGAAGGATTCTAACTCCGCTGCTGGTCCCAAGGGCACAGGCTGGGGGTGTGGCCAGACGTCATTTTCCCAAAAAGCTCTCACGTTAGCCCACTGGGAGTGCGGGGGGAAGGGGGGGAGATGGAGCCCTATTTTGCAGCCAGAGGAAACAGTGGCCCCAGGAGGCCTGTGATGGTGTCCCTGTGACACACTCCCCTTCCTTGGGAAAAGCCCAGTGCGAAATCCTAATGGCAGAGAGTGTGGGAACAGCAGGGCTACCCTGTTGTTACCCAGGGCCAACGGCCTAGGAGGGGGCTTGGGGGGTGCCACAGGAATAGGAAGAGGAGAAGGACCTGCCCAAAGGGAGGGAAACTCAAAGCTTCAAACCCTCAACCCCCACATCTTCAGGCTGAGGCCAGGTCCAGTGACTCGGAAATTTCAGAGGAAGGAGGGACCCAATTCTGGGCTGCCCCCTGATTCAGCCCATGCCAGAAACCCCATCTTCCACCCACTCCAGCCTCCTAGACCACAGGACCAAAAAGCTGGGTGTGAATGCCCAGGGTAGGGGGGTGCTGCTCCTTGGCACCACACCTCTGCCCCCACCTCAGTCCAGGTTCATGGCCCTTTGCTTCAATCTCCATCCCCACTCCTGGCAGAAACAGAGTCCAGGCTCCAGGATATGCTGCAGGGGCTACTGGGAAGGAGGTCTGCTCAGGGGTGGGAGCTGGTAAGAGTCAAGGTCAGAGGTAGGAGGGGGCAGCCAACATCCCCCACCCTGAACCTAGTCTGCCGCCTAGAGCCAGGGCAGTTCATACAGGAAGGACCCTGCTGGGTCACTTCCCCAGGAAACACAGGGTGGGGGTATGCAATGACCACAGTCCTCACCCCACAGGCCTGGCTAGGGGGGCCAGCAGGACTTTTGTCCCCATCCACAAACAATGGCAACATGAAAACAAGGACCCCCGGATTCTGTGGTCCCCAGTCACCCAGCAAGCCACTGGCCCAGGAGGCCACTCCTGGAGCCAGGAGGGTCCAACCAGGGTCCTGCAGACCCCTTCCCAGCCTAGCCTGCTGGTGGTCTTTCTGCCCCCCACCTCTGCCCCTCTGTCCAGCAATGCCCAGGACACCTCTTTGAGTGAAAGCCCACTGTGGTAATGGGCACAATGGGTTCATTAAACAACAGGGAGGCGCCAGCAAAGGTAGCTCTAAACCGGGGTAAGGAGGGGGATGGGAGGGAGCGTCGGGGCCCATGGCGCCTGCCTGCCCACCAACAGGCCCACACTCTGGGGCAGCGGCAGCTGGTCTGGTCTGCAGGAACTGCACCTCAGGGCCCAGCCCTGGGGCAGTGCCAGGGCACAGGTGCCCACTTCAGACCTGCACTCAGGCACTCATGGGCAGCCCAGCGGGCACTGAGGCTGAAAGCCCAGGGTCCCACACCTGGGGGCCAAGGGGGTCCCAGGAAAGGTTTCCTGTGCTGGCTCTCAGGCCAGCCTCAGCCCTCAGAGAGAGACCAGGTCTGCAGCTCCAAAGCCACAAGCATGGCGGATTCCCGAGCTCCCCCCACATCCACGCCAGCCCCACCACTCCATACACCACACGGGTCCCCGCCTGTGAGCCCACAGGGCCACTGCAGGGAGACACTCCCTCCAGCCTGGTTTGAATGATGAGGCACTTGAGGTTCAGAGGGGGAGGGCAACCTGGCTGGAACACACAGCAAGGAAGTGACGGCTCAACTGAACCCAGAGTCTGGCACTATCACCTCATGTGACCTGTCACCCAGAGAAATCCGGATAGGAGGAAAGGGGGTGAATGGTGGTTTCCGAGAAGTGAGACAGGATGCAGATGGGGTTTGAGGAAGTTTGAAATAGTGCCTGAGTGGTGGTGGGCTGGCGAGTGGAGGTTCCAACCAAGGCTGCTGCATAAGCAGGACAGGCCCTGGGTTGAGGCGGGGATCGTGGCAGGACCAGGGGCCGAACAGGGTGACAGAAAAAGTATTACAGTAATTAATATAATTAAAAATCAAGGGAAAGGTGACCACAGAGAACAGTGGTATCATGGCAGGAATGAGGAACTGGAAGGGGGTCTTTCGGGGAAGGGAAAGGGGGTGGCGGAGGCATGTGAGAGGCGGCATGTCCTACAGGTGGCTGAGGAAGTCCCCAGGGCAGGGGGAGCAGCCGCTGCCCAGCCTGGATGAGGACGGAGCCTGGGGATCTGAGGAGCCATCCCAGGCGCTACAGGGAAGGGTTCCAGGAGAGTGGGACATATAATGTGCCATATACGTCACACATGGGAACAGAATGCCAGGAAGGAGAGCAGAGTGGGACCCCGGAGGTGGGAGAGGGTGGGCCGGAGCTACTCCAGGAAGGGGGCAGCGGGTGTGTGGGAGGCAGAGGACCTAGCAGGAGCACACGGAATAGGAAAGGGGTCAGCAACAGCCTCCACAGACAGTAAGCAGGACGTCCGAACACCAGAAGCAGGTGGGCCAGGCCCAGCCTCTCCCTGACACAGCCCAGCCCAGCCCAGCCCTGATGAGGGAACCCAGCCCCACGTCTCCCCAGGGAGCCAGCAAAAGGCCTTGGGGGCACACCACACCTGCTCCCATTCTGCCAGTTTGGTCCTGTAAGAATCTGACACCCATGACTTCAAATGCCCAGCACACCCATAGGGAGCACCCATCTGGTGCCTGGCACCCCACCAGTCTTGATCCACGCAATCTGCAGACCCCCAGACTTGGCGGCGACATTACCAAGTCCCTTGCCACATTCAAATTCATTCAAATTCCCTGCCTTAGCCTGTTGGGAACAAATACTGGTTGTCTAGGACAAACAGGACTCTACTGAGGGTCTGAGCCGTACACACAGAGGTACTGATGAAGGAACAGCAGGAAAGATGCCTCCACCAGTTGAAGGGACAAGGTAGGTAGTTAGATCATAGACAGATTCCAGGAGAAGGCAACAGTGAGGGTTGCACAGCCCCTTCCCCAGGAGTGGGCCCACCTGCCTGCCCTTAGAACCCCTAGACAACCTGACTCCAGAAGCCATCTGAGCCTGTAGTAATCTATGACTAAGGCCACAGATCGAGGCCCTTTAGAGTAGCCAAAGCCCAGAGCAGTTAAGTGACTTGCTTAAGATCACAGAGCCAGTCTGCAGCCCTGGAGCTCCCCAGCATCCTGCCTGGGGAAAAGACACAGTTCCCCATCCCTGAGAGGTTGGGGTGATCTCATTTCATTCCTGGGCAGTCCAGCAGAGCCCGGCACTCTCTAAAGATAGCACCCCCTGTCACACAAGGAAACCTGAGACACAGGGACTGCACCAGTGTCCTGTGGCCATTTAGTGGCAGAAAACTAAGCCAGAATCCAATCTCTAGCCTTTGCTGATCCAACCCCAAGTGCCCAGCACTGTGTTGGCTACAGAAATACCCATGATGCTGTCCTTACCCCATCCCCTCGGAGCAGGCTTGGTACCCAAGACTGTGGGCTTGGGAAACTGTGGGGGAGACAGCAGCCCAGTTTGGGGGAAGCCACTCTGGGTTCAGAGTTGAGGGTTCATGCTCCAGGAATCCCAAGGAAGAGGGTCTATCCAAGCTCCTGCAGGGTCCTGCCACTGCTACCCTCCCAGGAGAAGAGCCCTGGGTCCAGGGACTAGGGGTGAACTGGCACCAGGATCTGGCCATTGACAGAGCAGTCACCATCACCTGTAGATGAGGAAACCAGACCCCAAGGACATCATTGGTTCGGCAAGGGTCACTGACTCCTACTCTTAGATTCTTCCCAGTCTGGGATCCCAAGTCCACACCTACCCACACTGTCATGAGCTCCCGGGGCCATGAGCACAAGTAGCTCCGTCTTGTTAAGTGGGCAAGTGTGGCCTACACAGGGTCCCTCCCACGTCCTGCTGGCGTCTGGGTGAGCTCCCAGGACACCAGACGCCCACTGAGTGCTGGCAGCTTGGCCCCTGATCCTTCAATCCCTGCCTCCAATATCCAAAGTGGGGGTCCATAAAAATGTAGTCCTCAGGGTAACCCCAGAACTCTTGCCTCTCATTCCCCAGGTGCCCACTCTGCACCTTACGCTTTCCACCTACTATGTGCAGTGTACCTGGCTCGGGCCTGGGGATCCAAATGTTCATGTAAGAAGTGAGCTTACATGAGGATCATGTGGGGGTCAGCCGGCAGCCTGGTTCATCCAGAAGGTCCTGGGAATACAGCAGGGAGGCTGGACTGGGGCTTTCTCCAGGACCTTGAGTCTTTTTGACTCTGTCTTTAAAGACAGTATCCATCTACTGGTGGATCCCAGGGTTGTCTGTCTGGTGGGCCTGGATCACTCCCACCTGGCAGCCCACTCATTTCTCCCTTTCAAGACCCAGAAAAGTGTGGCCATACTCTCAAGGCCCCACAGCAACTCTGTGACTGTTTTTCCCCAGTTCACCTAATAAATGGGGCCACAGCTTCATCCAGGCGAGGCTGCTCCTCAACATAGTGACCACCGGGCAGATTACCCTTATCTCTCCAAGTACCACACAACCACTTTCTCCCTAAACACAGTCTCCGTTCCCTGGGGTGCATTTCCAGAGAACACACTGCTTCAACTTTCTCCCTCACAAGCCTCTCCACACTCACCCCTACCAGGGGCCCATTCTCTCAGCACCCCCTGCTGGGGATGAAATCCCATTACTCCCCCAGCATCTCAGCTCAGCTTTGCTGGGTGTTGCGGAGTAAAGTGGACCCGGGCCTCTCTGGGGGCTCCCCTCACTCCCCAGCTGTGGCTGGGAAAGAGCCCTGTCCTGAGACCATCAGTCTGTCACAGCTCTTTACAAGAATGCGACCCACCCCCACTCTGGCCACATCTCCTCCAGGCCCTGCTCTTTCCAGGCCACAGGGTAGAGACAGTGTTCGCCCAATTCCATGAGAAGACCACCAACTTTCTGTATATCCAGGACAAGGGTTTCACACTTGGTCAGCCAGGCACTGGGACCACCCTTGAGAGCCAGTGAACAATAATGGGTACTGTGGCCACTAACCCAGGACCCAGAGCCTGTGCCACCCCGGGCCAGGCTGCAGGGAGGTCCCACCCCATACCTCTGAGCCCTAGATGGAGGTTCATCAACTTGCTGGAGACCTTGGCTGAGACCAGCTCCCTTTTCCCAACTGCACTGCTTTCCAAAGGTCATCCAGCCTCCTCTAGGTAGGCACCCGACTTACTCTGGCTTGCTCCCCCATTCCCATCTCACTTGCGCTCTCAGATAAGCTGAGAGGAGTTGGCACTGTCATGCCAGGATGGTCTGTCGCCCACCCTTCACACTCCCCATCCGCAGGGAGACCCCCTGGCCCCTCCCCGAGGAGTGTCCTTCCGTCTCCTGGTGCGAGTCCCTTCGCCCGTCCTCGGGCTACAACGGCGCTCCTCCGCCGCGAGCAGGGCTGAGGACGCTGGGCACCCCGGTGTGTGAGCACACAGGGCAGGAACCCCCATCCCCGGAGGAGCCGCGGCCGGATCCCGCGCGGGGCCGCGAGTGCGCGTGGACCTACCCGCTCCACATCCCGGCGCCTCGGGGCGCCCGCGCGTCCGGTGCCCGCCCCGCCGCCGCGCTCTCCCTGCGCCGCCCCGGGCCGCGTCCCCGCCCGCCGCCGACTCCGCCCCGGCCCGGCCGGGCTGCCCGGGCCGCTGTCAGTCCCGCACGCAGCCAGTCTGTCCGTGCAGCCCCGAGCGCGGCCCCGACCCTGCCCCGGCGGGTCACGTGCCGCGCGGAGGCCGAGGCCACGTGCCGGCCCCGCCCCCCGCCGGCCGGCGCCGAGCTCGCGCGCGCTCCCGGGGCCCAGCTCCGGCCGCCGGCGCGGGACAGTGCGGCGGCCGGGCGGGGGGGCAGCTGGGCCGCCAACACCCCGCCGCCAGCGCGGCTCCCAGATGCCCCCAGCTGTCGCCTCTGTGGTCACCAGCCGCCCCAGCCCAGCGCAGCACCCGCCCGAGACACCACTGCTCAAGAAACTACAATGGCTCCGGGATTTTCAACTCCCTGATTCCTGGCGGTTTGTCACCCAGGCCCCCAGACCCCCTCCCACATCCGCACCGGGCCTCCTGGCCTTCACCCGTTCCCTGGGCTCCCTGCTCTGTGCCTGTCCGTTTGCCACATCCTGCCTGGTCGGGAGGGGGTCAGACCCCAAGACAAGTTTTCTCAGTCCTGCTCTCTGAGCGCTTATTCCCCGGGAGGACCCACCTTTGGCCCAAGTCTCCAGCCCCAGTCTTCTCCCACGGGGGCCTCGCCTCTTGCTCTGACCATGCCCTGTCCATCCCTGCCTCTCCCCACCATCTGTCTGGGGGAAACCAGCCCCCACATACACACCTGTCTGGTCCCAAGTCCTCTGCTAAACCATTACCTGAATCCCAAACCATTGGTCTTCCTGCCTCTCAGTCCTGTCACCTATCCGGAGCCCTGCTCATCAGCTCCAACTTCAGCCTAGGGTTGGATCCAGTGAGGGCATCTTCCCTCCCTCTGGGGACCATGCTGTCACCCTCTGTGTCTAGAGGAGGCCAGGGAGGCTGGGAGGAGATACTTCCCATCCAGCTGCTACCAGAACTTGGGGCACTCATCTTCCAGTCCCACAGAGCTGGGGGCTCAGGCTTGAGTTTGTCAGGTCTGCATTTGGGGACACATATTTCATTCATTTGGCCTTTCTGAGCACAAACTATGGGTCATACAAGGGTTGGGCACCCAAGGGGAAACTGCACAGACAGGCTCTGTCCTGGGATTCCAGTATGGTGGGGGGATGGGAGATGGGGAACATAGTTTCAAGGACTTCCACTCCTAGGGCCACTGCTTGCCCTGGACACACCTTGTTAAGTGAATGGTGTCTTTGTTCAAAATACAAAATGGTACTCCTTTCCTAGGTGGGCAAAGCCCATGCCAAGTCACAGGACTTGGTGAGTGGCAGGCAGGCTGAACTTTATGCCTTGCTCACTTGCTTCCTTGGCCAGCACCTTGTGCAGTGAGCAACCTGAGCTGCCCTCTGTGACATCCCTTCTGACTTCCCAGAACTATCCTGCCCAGGCTTCCCATGCCCTTCACTCAGCAGGGCAACCATTTCCTCCGCTGTGGTTTCCCAAGGGTTGGGACCACCTCCTAGGTGCAGTGTTCCTCTACCCAGCCCAGCCCAGCGTCTGACCCAAAGCAGATGTCATCATATGTTTATTGACTTATGTCCTTCACCAAGTAAGTCTTGAGCAACTGCTGTCTTCCTGGCCCTTACGCTGTTCACTATTTAGGGGAAGTGGGAGAAGATGACACAAAGGCACTCAGGACAGGGCCCTTACCCTCCAAGTCTTCACAAGCCCAAGCAAGAGATAAGACCGGGTCCAAGCATGGTAACAGCGACGGGTGGGAGATAAGGGTAGAGCCCAGCACTACAGCGCCAGAGGAGAGTCCTCAGCAAGGAAGTAATGGTGAGCTACAGAGGCCCTTGAGCAAAGCCTCAAAAGGCAAGTGTGGGGTCATCAACCTGGGAGCACTGGTACCCCAATTACTAACCAAAAATATCCCATCATCTAGGTGTCCATTTACCTGGGACTCGCGGGCCTCACTAACTCCTCCCACAGCCCCATGAGCTCTGCTCCTCAGCTGAAAAGGATGAGCTCAGAGAAGCCAAGAAATCTGCCCAATTCACACAGCTGGGATGGGGCTGAGACCCCTTACACCAGTTTTCTGAAAAGATGGCCCAGAAACCAGAGGGCTCACTGGAAGCTACGGCAGCATGCCTTCGGGTAACAAGGGGAGTCTATTGGGTGCCTGGAGAGCAGATGGGGAGGGAGAAATAAGAAGTGTGTCCTCTGCCCCTAAGCCACTGCCCTCCCCAAACCTCTGCCCCCTGTCCTTGCCTGGCACCCTTGACCACAGACCCTTGGCTGGAGGCAGATGAAGATCAGGAGACTGCCTGCCTGGATGACCCAGACCCTGATTCTGCACTTAGTTCTGCATTCAGCTCACCGCGTGACCCATGACGAGGGTCTGAGCCTCAGACTACGTCTGCACAACCACCATGTTGGACAGACAATCAGGGCCACCCCCGGTGCTAACCTGGGCGGTGGCTCATGAAACTCCTCACAGTTCCCCTGTGTGGAGCCTGGCTTCTCCCCACTCCCCTAGCACCCCCCGCAGAGTGGCAGGATCCCCCTCCCGCCTCACCCCAGGTCACTAGCTCACCTGTCTGTGTCCCAAGACTCCTCTCCCAAGTTCTCCTCAAATGCAGGGCCCAGACCAGGTGGGACATAGTGAACAGTTCCCGAGCTCATTGCCAGGAACACAGGGCATGTCCCTCGGGCCGGGCACCTGGTGCACTCCTCAGGGGCTTCCATGCCTGGAGACCAGACCCAAGGTCCCTCTGGAGTCCGCCAGACAAGCAGGTGGCACAGGCCTTCTCCCCACCCCCAGGCTGGGCTTCACATTAACCTTTGCTATCTCCGCAGAGCAGACGCCTGTGAGGGAGGTGCCTCCCAGACAGACCTCTATCTTCATAAACCCCACAATTATTAACTCCCATGGCTCAGGGGGCAGCAGAAGACGAAGGGGCCTCCCTCCTGGGCTCTGGGCCAAGGAAGGCTAGATGCCTAGAAGGGAGGTAGGAGCCTTCCTCTACATGCGCAAGGCTCCAGGTTTCAGTAGGTCCAGGTTGCAACTAGATGGGGCTGCCTGTCCCCTTGCCACCCAGGTGGGTGAGTTGGAAAGAACCTGCTAGCCCTAACTGTGTTACTAGCTGGCTGTGTGGCCTTGAGCAAGGACCCCTGCTTCCCATTGGTCTCTGGCCTCAATATCCCCTTAAAACTTCTAATCACCAACAAAAAAGGACAACTCAATGTGTCAGAAACATAGTTCTGGAGGCAGAAAGGCTGATTCAACCCTGCTTCCATACTGTGAACCTTTGGGAATGTCTCTGTGCCTCAGTTTCCTCCACTAGAATCTCATCCTCTAAGGCACACTAGGCCGGCTGCGATTGCCCAGCATGCCCTATGCCCCCACCCTTCCTCACACAATCCCCTGTCTCTGCACCTGCCAGTCCATCCTCCCCACAATGATACATTTCTCTTGCTCACACCCCCTCCTCCAGGAAGCCTTCCCCTGTGGATTGTTTCTTCCTCTGCAGGCATTGGGCTGGAGCCCTCAGACATGTGCCACCTTGTGTGGTGACATGTGCCCCATGGAACTGTTTGACAGTCCCACAAGAACTGAGTGGCCCCGTGGGCAGAGGCTGGCCCACATTTATCACCAAATCCTTGGTGCCCCACTTCCTGGCACATAATCAGCCACAGGCCCCCCAGAATGGTGTGAATGTCCCACCCTGACTCATTTGGCCTGAATTCTAATCCTAGCTCTGTCACTTCCAGGCCATGTGATCTTGATCTTAAACTCTCTGGGACTCATTTCCCTCACCTATAAAATGGGAACAGTTCTCCCCTGTGAAGTTGTAAACGTCAAAGAAGGTAACATTGGTGAAGGGTCTGCCACGCTTGAAATGAGAGTGTCCTATTCCCATCTCCCTTGCTGTCTCTCTTCTCTCCTGTCTGCCTCCCAGTTCCCACTGGGGAGACGCGGCCAGTTCCTGCCCAGTAGTCACACCCGCTGCCTGCCCTGCCCTTCGGATAACATCTCCCACTCAGGCTTGGGCTTCTAGCTCTCTCAGCCTAATTCAAACCAGATGCTGGCCTCTCTTTCCTGGCAGTGAATTTTCCATGGCCTGCTCCCACCCCCTTCCTGTTTTTGCTCCTCACTGATCCCCCTGCTCAGTTCTCCCGTGCCCCCACCTTCCTCTGCAGGGCAACCTCTGGGCCCACCTGGAAACAATTAATGGAAAACAGGATGTGTGGAAAGAAGAGGGGGGTCTCCCCATCACACCAATACAGCAGAAGGGAAGGGACTCAGCCTGGCTGTTGACAGTGCATATGGGAGATGATCCCTTCCTGTCAAGCCCCAGCCAACCTTGCAGGGCGTAAACCAAGTCAGAGTTGCTCTGGGGACTGTATAGAAAAACTTAACTTTCGTGACATTTAGGCACAGGTGGGACTGCATAGGGAGCTGCGAAGGCCTTCTCTGTCACTTAGAAATTCAGAGTCAGAAGAGGTCCGATCCCCTCCTGCTGCAGATGAGGAAACTGAGGCTTGGAGACTGGTCCAGGGTCATGGGTGAGTCAGAGCCTAAGGCAGCCAGGTCTGGGACTGCTGGCCCTAAGGGAAAGCTGCTGCCTAAAGGCACTTCCAGGGCTTGCTATCTCAGCGTCATTCCTGCCCGCCCTTTCCCTCTGCCT